AACTCTCGACACTTGGGGGTTCAACATTTGGGACCGCCTTTATTTTTTCTGGAACACACAGAGTGATCAGTTTTGATAAAAGGAGCAATCTGGTGCTGAGGGCGGTAGTGTGGGACCACTAAGGACTACTTGGGTCCTATTGGGACCAGCAGGTCCAGCACAGGATAGGTGCGGCCACGACGACGGTTTTCTGTGCTTGCGATTTTGGTTTTTGACGCAGTTATTATTTTTTGTGCGACACAAGTGGTTTTCGAGGTCTAGGGATCATTTGGCATGACGGTAAGTGGTGTAGGACCATCTGGGACCACTTGGGACCAGTTGGCACTGACGTGGGAACATTGTTTTTTTTTTGGAACGTGTGCGGCTCGCCAACTTCACACTTGGGACTACCGCATGTGGGACGTGTGAGTTGGGGACTGATTGGGAGAAATAGTTGGCATGAGACTTACCTTGGGACTATTGTTTTTCTTCGGCGGCGAGTTGTCGAAGGGCACGGTGTCCCGACCCTCCGTTGTGTACTGAGCGCCTGCCCACGTACTCCCGTTGCGTACCGGGCGTCTGCTCGCTTACCAGTCCACAGGGTCATGTGGGATGCCAGGTTTTATCGCTGGGCTTTCCTATCGAACCACGCAGGCTCGGCGTCCTGCCATACAACAGGCTGACATGTGGTTGAAGTAGTTGTCGGATCCGCCAGGGGTCGCGACAGTAAACGGTTAGCGCGGGCTTCTCAGCCGCATGTTGAAGTAGTTGGGCTAGGTGCAGAGGAAAAGAGAAAATAAATAAAGAAATGAAAAGGGAAAAATGAAAAAGAAAAGTTTACACTTCACACTTTTATCCGAATTCGGACCGCTACTCCAGGTGTCAAATCAGACGAATCGATAGCCGAGGGGGTGCTAGGGTCCTTTCTCTCCCCTCCCTTTTCTTTTTGTCAGTTCCTTTTATTCAGCCTGCCTGAGCTCTCGTTCCCCGCCTAGTCATGTCGCAGGGGAACAAATCGGTTCAAATTCGAAATAGTAAGCCGAGAGTGGGTGGTGTGGGCTGCCCGACTTTTGGTTTTGGTATTTAGTGAGCCTGGCCGGTAAAGTACTGTTGATGTGAGGGTTTCAAAATAGGAGCACCCACGGCCGCATCGGTAGGAGACTCATCACCTCCCATGAGAGGTCATGAGCCTCCTCCTTGCCATCGGACACGGGTACTCATTAGAGACAATCCGGTGGCTCGTTTTGAAGGGAGGAGGCACGACCGCCAGTATCTCGTTATGGGACTACCAAGATGAGCCTGCAGTCGTCTTATGCCCAAAGTGAAAGGACTAGTGAATAACAGCAAACTGCACTGCTCGGGTTATGACCGTTGATGTTCATCCCCCCGTTTTCATTTTATTTCATTTTATCTTATTTTCTTTTCTTTTCTATTTTCGTTGATCTGAAAATGTTTCGAGTGTTCTGTTTAGAACGAGGATAGTCCTACGCCTGGTAACCCTATAAGAGGAGGGGTTGTTGTGCTACACAGGGCTGGCCAACCACGTCTGATCTGAGGACAAGGTAGACGCGCTGGAAAATGTCGTGGTCGTCTTGGGGTCTCTGTGCCTAGTGCCTCAAGTGTGTTGCTGAAGTGTGGGTAGGCAGCAGTCTCGGGCGTTGGCTATTGTAGAAAAGGTGACTATGGCGGACCGAAATGGTCTGCGTGGCTATACTAGGCCAAGGTACATGAGGTACTCCTGGATGTGGGAGCGCGAGGATGAGAAGGGTACCTTGGTTGAAACTATTTTGTCCTATGGGACGCCTACGGGGAGGTGAGGTTAAAAATTAACGTGTGTGGCCACAGGGAGCAGGAGATGAGGAGAGACGAAGGACTGAAGGCAGGTATTACCGAGGTTCGCAATAAAGATGAGTGGAGATGCACGCGAGACGGGGTGATTGTGGGGATGCGAGTGACGGTCAGTTACCATGAGGATGACTCGTCGACTGGGACCACGACCAGAGAGGTGCAGCGTGTCGACCGGGACTCCGAAGGGGAGTCTGAGATGAGCAACGCTGAGGAGACTCAGTCCTGGCATGGATTGGAACAGTGGCGGCGGGATCACCCGCCGACCGAGCCTGTTGAGAGCGGCCCGGAGGCCAACTCGCGACAAAGAGACCAAGGCCGCTAGCAACTGGGTGGAGATAAGTGCGGCAGGGCCCCGATCTTGGATGGTCTGGAGCGGTGGCGAAGGGACCACTTGCCTGCCGAGTCTGTGGAAAATGGGCCTGAGGCCAATTCACGAAGAGAGGCAGAGAGAGAGGTGACGGTGATGCGCGTGACAGTTATGCTCAAGAAACGGGAGAGTGAAGAGGCCCGGGGGTCAACACGCGTTGGGGAACCTCGGAGAAGCGGACAGTTACACTTAGGAGACTTTTGGGCTACAGGGGGATTACAGACAAGAATCTGCGAGGGGACTACGGACTGGACATGGCAGCATACACCTTGATTGAGAGGGTTTTCTTGTTGTTGTTGACGTCATCGCCTGTCAGGGAGGTCAATGCCTCTTGGGAAGAAGTCAGTGAGAATCACTGTGAAAGAGGTGAGCGGTTACGAGAGAGAGAAGGGGTTACGCGAATATGTGACGTGCGATGAGAGAGGGAGAGAACCTCTAGTGTGATGGGACTGCTGACGTCAACGGTTCCATGCGAAAAGCCAGAGGAACTTTCGATGATGCTGGACAAAAAGCCAATGTGTGATCTGTAATCAGGGTGAAAGGGACCTCTCACCTGGCACGACCGAGGGAGGCAATTCAGGAGAGAAGGTTAACAACAGTCGTATTTTTCACCACCATTTCAGGACACCCTTCACGACTTTAGGATGCAGCCTGCCTAAACAGGTGGTTTTCAGGGTCTTCGGACCTTTTACCACTTCAGGACCATTCAGGTCTGAAAATCCTGAATGGTCATGAAGTGGTGAAAGCTCCGAAGACCCTGAAAACCACCTGTTTAGGCAGGCTGCATCCTCGAGTGGTGAAGGGTGGTTTTCATGGTCTTCGGATCTTTCACCACTTCAGGACCATTCAGGATTTTCAGACTGCCCAAGACTAGCGGAACAGCAAGCG